TTCGCTTTTAAAATATAATTTTTTTTCTTATTTACTCTAAAAATTTGAGAGAAATTTTTGTGCCAATTTCTGTCGATGACGATGAAAGCCATTATCGACATCCACTTCTAGACCACCCTTTCCTATCACCCTTGCTCATTTCCAACTCTCTTCATGCCCTTTTACCTTCACCTACCCTCTTACCAGTCCAATCGTAGTCCAAAAGCTACCCACTAGTCTCTTACCCTCTCTCTGTTCCTCTCTCTATACATGAGATCAACGGGTGTGGATTGAATTGTTTAAGCTTGGGCTTGGATTATTAATGTTAAAATTGGTATTGTGAGAATTTTTATTGCTAATGTCATCAATATCTATAAGTTGAACATAACGGAACTTAAATTGCAATGTGATTTGAAATTGTAAGGAGTAAAGTGTAATTTTCCAAACATTGAGGGAGAATCCATAATAGAAGCAAATCTTGAGGAGTGATTATACTTACACCATTAGTTTATCGCTTTACATCCTCCATCTCATTACACCGCCAAAAAAAATGTGATTCTCATTACACTCATTATACTACCAAAACTAATCCTAAACTAAAAACTCTTCAAAATCATTTCAATTTTGTCTCTTTACACTGATAACTTTTAGTATTACAATGCTAAAGAATTTGAATTACTCTGGCACCGTATTACCAGACAAACTATTTTTTTTCAGTTATTTGTTGCGTTCGATTGGATGATTTTACTTTACTTAACAAAAAATTAGTTGAAGCCTAATTGTGAAGTGCATGTTCGGTGACACATTGTAATACAAATTAGATTATTCCAGTGTCATATTGCCAAACTAAAATAAATTTGCCCAGCCGCCTATCGCTTTACATGCATTGTTGATTGTCTTCATTATTGTCGCATTAAAGGCATCACTTCGTTTCAATGTAATCAATATCTCTTTTGGTCGCACCATACTTTTTGACATGTCAACTAATAAGGATGTTTCCTCCTCAGATAATCTATCAGCAAATGAGTGTCCTTCAAGATGTTCAGCAGCTGAATGATTGTACTTGTATTGATGCAATGAGTAAAAGTATAATCCTTCTAAGTAAAAAACAAAAAATATAAAATAAATAAAATAAAACTGGAAATGCACGGTAATAAGTAATTGAACAAATTAAAAACGTTCAGCCTTAGGTTACTAGAAATGTATTTTTTATTCAGCAGTGGGTTACAGGACATATTTTTTTGTTCGGCAATGTGATTTTGGACTATTTTATTTTGTTCGATTTTGACACATCGAACAAAAGTTGAAAAACTATCTCAAAAAAATGAAATGAAAACCTACGAAATAAATATAAAAAAACTCACTATTTGTAACGCCTCGCTTTTTATTACTCGGATTCCATTACCAAACTATTATTATAGATTCAATTTCAGAGATAACATACGGAAACTCTTTATATTTACAAGAACACGTGAATAAAGATTCTCTTATCTGACTACAATATGAATGCAACAGGAGTTATAATTAAATAAATTGCCCGTAGGCTTACATCTTCTAAATGAAGAGAAAGGGTTTAACCCTTTTACATCAATGGCATTTCGCCCACAACAAAAGGCCCCGTGGCAAACAGGTAAAGAAGATCCATGACCTGAACACTTCTCGATGTTCACCTGAAAAAGGATTAGCAACGTGGGATAAACATAAAGTCCAATAGGGATCTCAACATAATCCTAAACAATAACAACTTATAGCTACCTATGATCATGAATGCTTAGTCTCATACTATATAAATAATGTAACGGTTTATACAGAAATATATGTATATAAGAACTTTTCTCAAAATCATTCATTTCATTCAATAACATAAGTAATTCACTTTTCTTGTTACTTTTTTCCAAAATTCATATGACAATAACAAATTCCTGAAACAATTTCACCAAGCCCATTACGTTTTCTCCCACTTTCCGAACTTACACCTGATTTGCCTTCTCAAAACATGTTCACAAGTATCCGATGTCCTTCACATTATTCATAATCTCAATACAGTACCTATGCCAGTTTCCAACACATTCATATCTATACATGTATACCTTTAGTACAAAAGGAAACAACAAGCAACCAACAACTATCTACTCAACAAATAAGGCAACCAGCCTTCTAGAACCATAACCATCATAACTCATAATATATCCAGATACACTGAGACAATAATGATAAATAAGTTCTGCTCTACCTGCCATAAGCACGGTAAGCCAAGGATACACCTTTTCACAATGAAATGCCAATTTACCAGACACCGGCTGAAAGGTAATGGTACCTATGCCAAGTTCTCCAGGCGCTAGCTGGAAAGAACTGGTACCTCTCGTAATAAGCGCAACCAATTATCCATGCACTAGCTGGAAGGTAATGATACCTCTCATTCTCAGCGTAGTATACGTTACCAATCATCACGACATGACAAAGTACAACCAACAAGTGTAATGCATACACATAAACCATTCAACACAACAATGTCATCCTCCACCGATGACCAAAGACAAAACTTCTAAATGTATGTATTCAATACACGTATTATAACAATCCAACTCTCATGAGATTTTAAATCCAACGACAACAATAGTAAAATAAAATATTCATAATCCAACCTCAAGTTAATTTTTGAAATTCACATAGTGTTATAATTTCATTCTACCTTCTTCTCTTCTATATATGAATCATTAGAAGACAGAAGCCAACACAGAATAATGTCCGCCACCGTGACGGACACAAATATCAAGTCCGACCCCGTGCACTCTTTGTGCACTCTGGCACAGCACACCTCTTCCCACCCCCGTGCGCCACACAGAATAATGTCCCCCCATGCACGCTCTTCGGGCAAACCCCACCACCCTGGAATGAACACCTTTTCCCTCCACCGTCTCTCCACTATGCACCCACTTTCATTATATTCATTATTCCCCACTTGTTCCCCACTCTCTCCGTATATATATATATATATAAACCCATCATACAATGTGTGTGTGCGTGGGCCAACCTTCTCCACTCCTTTATTATTATTTTGTCCAAACCCATTCCCATTCCCCTTTGGTGTTTTGATCTCAGTGGACACCACTATCATCCTATTTTATTTTATTTCATTTCCACCCACCCATGCCTTCTTTTGGTTTTTTTTTTTAATCATCCCATTCCGTCTGCTTTTTCCTTTCTTTTATTTTCTATATATCTGTTTATATCTTTTCCTTTCTTTTATTTATTTATTTATTTATTTTTTTTTTAACCGAAGAGGAAGCAGAACTGAACACCCCAACCTTTGTTTTAAATATATTAGGGATCAATCCCGCTCACAATTTTACACAAAAAAAAAAAAAAAAAAAAAAACAAACAAACAAACAAAAAACAAAAAAACACAACAAAGTATTTATTTTCTTTCCTGAGCGGTACATCGACTCACTTCACTCTCGGCGCGTCTTATTCTTCTTGCCTCCGTCTGAGCAGCCTTGACGTGCTGCTCCGTTTTTTCAGCGCAAGACGTTCATCCATGATCTCCATGAGCATTGAGGACCTCCATCGGAACATAAGGTGGCCTTCTTAAGCTCTTGTTGTCTGCCTTGCGTTGATCTCTGCTCGCGATCTTATACATGCGTTGGAGCAGAGAGATGGGAGTTAAATGCCACCTCATTTGTCTACTCTGCAGACTGGTTGACCAGTTTTGTGATCGGTCATGATTTCCACAGCATGCCTTCAGAGTATATGATATGCTCCCATCCGTTGCACTGCCATTTTTTGCTCCACCGACCGCATCGGAAAGTTCAACGGAGCAAACTCCGGGGCGCTTGGTTGAGGTTCCAGTGCCACCGCACCAGTTATCTCTCTCGTTGACTCGTTGAGGTCGGGAAAGAGAGTAAGCAGAGGGCGGGACGAAGAGGCCATTTTCTCAGACAACAGAGTGTTACAGAATACCTCTCTCAGAAATCTCTCTCAGAAACTCTCAGAATATCTCTCGCAAGTTTTTTGTCTCCGCCTCTGCCTCAGCCTCAGCCTTCGTCTTATAGCCGAGGCAGCCACGCGCATCGCGCGCCTCTTACCACCAGCCGACAAACGGGCGCGCAAGCCAAGGCGCCCATGTGCCTCGCCATCATGTCCGGCACGCCTTTTGATGAATTGGGCACGCCTTTTGATGGCACGCCTTTTGACAAAATTAGGCACACCTTTTGAGAGTGCAACTTTTACAACGGTCTGACATGACCCCATAAACTGTCCCGACATTGATTCCGGTTAGCATCTCTAACGGTCCGACATGACCCCATAAACTGTCCCGACATTTGATTCCGGTTAGCATTTTCACCGGTCCGACATGACCCCATAAACTGTCTTCTACATCGGTCTGACACCGCCATCCAGTGTCCTCTACACCGTTATGACACCATCATACAGTGTCCTCTACATGGTTATGACACCCCCATACAGTGTCCTCTACAACGTTATGGCACCACCTTTCAGTGTCTTCACCAACGGTCTGACACGACCATACAGTGTCTCCTATCCTTTTTTATTTTTATGTATTTTCTTGTTTTGCTCCTCTCTCCAAACTCAAGTTGGTTAGTTTCTATCCTCCTTGAGTTTGCGGGGGGCTGTTAAAATATATCATCACCTACCACCTCCACTCAACTCACCTACCACACACACTCACCTACTCCCCAATCCTCTCCTATATAATGAGTACCTCACCATCTGTAATTTACACATTAGACATCAATCAATAATACATATATTTTTACATTTTCCGTTATCACAAAATAATGTTTTCTGTCCTAGCAAGAAAATGTTTTTTGCCAAAACAGGGCTCCTAAGCAGTGCTAATCTGACAACTTAAATGTGGAGTAGTTTCAAATTATTTTTTACCAAAATAATGATGATGAAAGTTGATTTACAATGCAGCATTGTGTAACCTGAGTTCCTTGCAAACACTAGATCTTTCAGACAATTCAATCGAAGGACTAGTGCATCCGTGTTGGGGCAACATGCCATCACTCCGCATACTAATCTTGTCAAAGAATAAATTTCAGGGAAATCCCTCTTCAATTTTTAGCAACCTAACAATCATCGAGAAAATTGATGTTTCTCATAACCATTTTCAAGGTCCAGTACCATTCTCAACCTTCGCTAATCTCTCCAAACTTCGTTATCTTGACCTTTCATACAACCAAATAGAAGTTGAAACCGAAAATCCATCTTGGCAACCTTCCTTCCAGTTAGAACATTTATTATTGGCCGATTGCAATCTGAACAAAAAAAGTAATCATGGTATCCCGAGTTTCATTTCCACCCAGTATACTTTACAAACCCTTGATTTATCCAGCAACTTCTTTGCAGGGTCTATTCCTATTTGGATGCTCCACAATGTTTCGTCTGTCTTGAGGCTGCGTGGCAACATGTTTAGTGGTAATTTTCCTCAAAGTAGCAGAAATGTTGCATCCCCTCTTGTTGAATTTGACATCTCATGCAATTACTTTGAGGGGCCATTGCCTTTGAACATCACTGCTCTTTACCCTAGGCTATATCGATTTAATGTATCAACCAATGGATTGACTGGTACCCTTCCTCCATCATTAGGCGAATTAGCAAGTTTACAACAGCTGGACTTGTCCAACAATAAGTTGGTGGGAAACATTCCATCACGCCTAACAGAAAACTCTTCGTTGTGGTACCTAAATTTGTCAAACAATCGCTTACAAGGCGAGTTGCTTCCACAAGATTGTAATATGAGGCAGTTGAGGTGGTTACTACTTCGTGACAACAAGTTTGTGGGAAGTATGCCTCTTTGCCTGTCGAATAGCCCCTCTTTGTTGATTCTAGACATGGGTAAAAACAAACTTTCTGGAAACATCTCAAACCGATTACCAACCTTTCCTAGTTTAGGAGCTCTCCTCCTAGGGGGAAACCAAATTAAAGGTTCTATTCCAATGCAATTGTGTCAAATGAAATATATACAAATCCTAGATCTCTCAAACAACAACTTCCTAGGGAACATTCCATCCTGCCTTAGTAACAACTTAGTATGGAAGAAGAAGTTCCAATCAAGTTCTTGGGTGCCAATTGATTTTACCACAAAAGGTAATTCATATTCTTACCGAGGTCTACCACTCACTTTAATGACCGGCATTGACCTTTCGTCCAACCATTTGTCCAATACTATTCCCTCAGAAATTGTCATGCTAAGTGAACTCCGTTCCTTAAATTTGTCCCATAATCTTTTGACCAGCCACTTTCCAAAATCTTTTCAAAACCTAAAAAAATTGGAAAGTTTAGACCTCTCCTACAACAATCTAACCGGAAAAATACCTTGGGAAATTGGACAAATCGATACCCTTTGTTTTTTTAGTGTTGCTTTCAATAATTTGTCAGGGAGGGTTCCTTTTGGTCAACATCTCTCCACAATTACCGAAGTTAGCTACATTGGTAATCCAAATCTTTGCGGAGAACAATTAAGAAAATGCTCGGGTGAAGAGGGAAAAGTGGGTGGCACTGACAACAATGAAGATCGTAGAAAAGAAGAAATTAGGCACACGGAAGAGAATGGGATCGTCGATGAACCTCTTTTTTTCTATTCTTGTGTGGCTATGTCATATATTTTGGGATTTTGGAGCGTCGTTGCGCCTCTTTTCATTAGCAAAAATTGGCGGCGGAGATACTATGCAGCAGTAGATGGATGCATTGATATGATTCTCCAGAAGATCTATGTGATACATGATATGTTGTTTTATAGAAATTGAACATTCTTATTCGGTATTGGTTGGCTTGTTGAATTTCATATGTACTCAAGAACATCTAAATTTGTTTTAACTAATGCTTAAGGCTTTGTTTGGGAATTATCTTTTCTTTTTAGTGATTCTTTAACCTTTTAATTTTTTTACAAGGTGAAAAAAAATGTGTTTGAAAATAACTTTTTTTAGTTGCATTGAAAAGCATAAATTAACAGATGTCATCTTTGTAAGGGAAACTCTAGAGCCAGAGATAGTTAGGGTGTCTTTCACCTCGGGCTAGAAATTTTGTCGAGGGGTCAAGATATATGCAAAAAAATATTTAATTAGCTTTGTAATTGAAGATAATTTTCTTATAAGTGTTCTGAAAAAATTATTTAATGAGAAGAAAAATATATAAATCTAACAAGCAAGTTATTTCAAATTTTTTTTTTTTGTCAAGTTTATCGTTTTAAGTAATTTTAATGATTAAGATAAACTAGAAAATAAAAAGTGTATATTCCTTTTTATTTTTATTATTTTTAAAAAAATGTATAAGTAACATGCACTCATGTATTAATAAGTTCGATTCGATGAAATTAATGCTATTAACTAATAAAAAAATAGTTGGAAATCATTTCAATATACATTTTCAAATACTAATGGAATTTATAAAATTAGAAGGTAATTTCATTGTGTATTTTACAAATTAGTGGTAAATCCGTACTATATACGGGATGTGAAAAAAATTAATAACGTATTTTTATATAAAATAATATAAATAGTTTGATTTTTGCATGCAAATTAAGAAAACAAAAAAGGTTGAAACCTTTAATTTAAGTTCCATAATTTTATCACAACAAATGTATTAATTTTTAATTTGTCATAAATTCAATCATGTAACTTTCAATCCCCTTGTTAGAGTTGTATACTTGGGTGAGCTTAACTCAAACAACTCAAGTTAAACTTGAAATTTCTTAAAGATTTGGCAACATAGTTTTTACATCGGTGAGGACTTGTTCAAAAAGAATAATGCTAGAGATTATGAAAAAAATGTCATGAAGATGATCATAAAAGATTCTCCACCTTTAGATTACACATACAATAAAATATCATATACTAATCAAATGATGAAAAATCTGTATGTTGCATTTCATGATATTTTTTTCATGATTCTTAACATTACTCATATATATAAAATTATTTGATAATTTATTTTTTAAAATAATAAATAAAATTAATTTGAAATTTAATATTGATGAACAAAAGCAAAAGTAATATGCTTAAGTTTTTTCAATAGATTTTTTAAAAAAATATTTAAAAAAAACACCTTTTAGAAAGGAATTATCGAATAAGTTGATATTAAAAAAATTTACTTTTTATAATGACATAAAATAATTTAAATACAATTTTTTAGAAATTATTTTAATTTAAAAATTATAATAAAATATTTAAATAGAATAAAAATAATTTTTTTACAAAATAAAAGTATCTAATAATATATATAAAAAAAAAGGTAAAAAGAAAATTATAATGATATTCTCAAGGATTTGGGAGCATGTTGTGCTTATAAGGCGCGTCACAGTAAGTTGTGACGGCCTATTGAGACTTGTCTCGAGCCCATGTCGTTGATTTTAACCGTTTGTATTGTAAGATTTATTAAGTAAATCATTCATAAAAAAATTAGATTAATTAGATATTTATAATTTCAAAATGAGACCACGGAAAAGTAGATGACAATGGCAACAATGAAGATTGTAGAAGAGGAAATTAGGCACACGGAAGAGAATGGAATCGTCGATCAACCTCTTTTTTTCTATTCTTTGTTAGGGAAAATATAAGATTTCTCACAAGTAAATCAATCAATGGGAATAAAAATTAATGCGAAAAAATTAAATCAAAAGCACCATAAGAATTTTTACGTGGTTCTCTCAATGTGATGTACGTCCACGGGATCGAAATCTGATTCCACTATAAACCAAATAAGTTTCTAAACGATTACAAACGAGACATGAATGGTCTAACAAAAACCACCCTTAGGTGAATTCCAAATAATCACAAATAAATAAAGAGGAAAGACCTCACCAAATAGATGAACAAAAATCTTTAGAACCAGAGTTGAAAAAGACCCAAAATAATAGCCAAATCAATCCACACAAAACCAGTGCACCAATTTGAATGTACACCCAAGAATCAATGCACCCAAGTATCAATGTTGCGGCCGCTTTACTCCACTTCGGGGAACAACAAATTAATTAGGGCAGCTGCTGTGCATTTTGCTTCAAGAAAAACAAAGCCATACATATATATATATATGGTTGAGTATTGGGTTTTATAATCAAACCTTAATTGTTACCAAATTGAATTAGGTCTCCACAAATTAGATATAATATATAAAAATATATTATAACCAATACCAAAACAAATTAAAATTCTTTTAACAAACCAATTGGGTCTCAAACTCCAATAAGGAGATATACCCCAACAATTCTTCCCCTATCGACTTAGGTGGAGACATCGACCATACCCGCCAAAGTTCGACACTTTAAATGTTTGTCCCTCGACAAAGTCTTAGTCAACATATCTGAAATATTATCATCTGTGTGAACCTTTTTGAGTTGTAACAATTTCGAATCTAACACATCACAAATCCAGTGGTATCTCATATCAATGTGTTTCGATCTCGAATGAAAAATAGAATTTTTACTCAAATGAATAGCACTTTGACTATCACAATAAAGCACATACTTTTCTTGCTTCAAACCCAATTCTTGCAAAAATTTCTTCAACCATAACTCTTTTTTGCAAGCTTCCGTAATAGCAATAAATTCAGCTTCGGTAGTTGAGAGAGCAACACAATTTTGTAATTCAGATTGCCATGCCACCGCTCCCCCTGCAAATGTCATCAAATACCCCGAAGTAGATTTCCTATAATCAACATCACTGGCCATGTCAGAATCCGTGAACCTATCAAGCATCGGCTTACCATCCCCAAAACACAAACACACCTTCGAAGTCCCTCGAAGATATCTTAGAATCCATTTTACTGCTGCCCAATGTTCTTTACTCGGATTAGAGAGAAACCGACTCACCACACCAACGGCGTGAGCAATATCCGGCCTTGTACAAACCATGGCGTACATCAAAGAACCAATTGCTGAAGAATAAGGAATTTTCAACATCTCTTCTTTGTCTTTCTCACTTGTAGGACATTGATTCGAACTAAGTTTGAAGTGACCCGCAAGTAGACAATCAACAGACTTTGCTTTATCCATGTTGAATCTCTCAAGAACCTTCTCAATGTAGCTTTCTTGAGACAACCAAATCAGTCCCTCTTTGCGATCACGAACAATTTTCATACCAAGAATTTGCTTTGTCGGTCCCAAATCTTTCATAGCAAAAGATTTACTCAACTCTAACTCTAACTTCAACTTGCTAATCTTGGTAGAATCTTGACCCACAATTAACATGTCATCAACATAAAGCAAAAGAATAATAAATTTGCCATCCGAAAAATTTTTCACAAACACACAATGGTCCGAAGTGGTTTTAGGAAAACCATTATTCATCATGAAAGAGTCAAGTTTTTTGTACCATTGCCGCGGGGCTTACTTGAGGCCATACAAACTTTTCTTCAATTTGCAAACAAATTTCTCTTTCCCTTTCTCTACAAAACCTTCCGGTTGCTCCATGTAAATTTCTTCTTCAAGATCACCATGAAGAAATGCGGTCTTCACATCAAGTTGCTCAACTTCAAGGTTCATACTTGCAGCCATGCCAAGTACAATCCGAATAGAAGACATTTTCACAACCGGCGAGAAAATCTTATCAAAGTCAATACCTTTCTTTTGCCCAAAGCCTTTCACAACAAGACGTGCTTTGTACCTCAGATTCTTACTATCATTCTTCAATTTGAAAACCCACTTATTTTTTAGAATTTTTCTCTCCTTAGGCAACTTTACTAAATCATAAGTATGATTTTCAAGTAAGGAGTTCATCACCTCTTCCATGGCCTTTTTCCAATCACCTTTCTTTCCATGCTCAATTGCTTTTTGGTATCTCTCAAGCTCCCCTTGATCGGAAATCAACACAAATTCATTGGGAGGATACTTTCTTGAAGGTTGTCGGTCCTTTGTAGATTTCCTCAACTCAAGTTGTGGTGATGGTTCTTGAGTTGAATGCTCTTCCTCAATTTCTGTCTCAACTTCATTAGGATTAGCATCATCCTCTATATCTTCAATGGGTGGCTTCACATCTCCCCTATTTTCATCATCAACTGAAGTTGAAGGAGATGGATCCATGTCAATGAAATCACTAGTTTTTGGCTCCAATTGATCACCTTTGCCAAAGTCTTCAATTGTTTGGTCTTCAAGAAACACAACATCACGGCTTCGAATAACTTTCTTGTCAACTGGATCCCACAATCTATAACCAAACTCATCACGTCCATAGCCAAGAAAAATACATTGTCTTGACTTGGTATCAAGCTTGGACCTCTAATCCTTTGGAATGTGAACAAAAGCTCGGCAACCAAACACTCTCAAGTGCTCATAAGATACATATTTGCTAGTCCAAACTCTTTCAGGAACATCACCATTCAAAGGATAGGAAGTAGACAAATTGATTACGTCAACCGCTGTCTTCATTACCTCACCCCAAAAGGATCTTGGCAATTCAGCTTGTGAAAGCAAACACCTTGTTCTTTCCATCCTCTCTGCAACGCCATTTTGTTGAGGAGTCTTCTTAACTGTCTTTTGGTGCCGAATACCTTGGCTGCGACAATACTCATCAAATGGCCTAATATATTCACCACCATTGTCTAATCGGATACATTTCAATTTCTGCCCTGTTTCTCTTTCAACCATGGCCTGAAAATGCTTAAATACTTCTAGAACTTGATCTTTAATTTTTAGTAGAAAAATCCAAACTTTCCTTGAATAATCATCAATAAAAGTAACAAAATAAAGTGCACCACTATGTGTTCTAACTTTTAAAGGACCACAAACATCCGAATGAATCAACTCCAAAACATT